TGTCCATCAAGAGACGATCGTCGACACAGTGTAGGGACAAGGGAGGGGAGGAGATCTCGACTCTGATGCCCAATGAGTCGAGCTCGATCCAAACCCGTTTGAGCCATGTTTCGGAGGCAAGGATCCCTGTGTTGGTGGGTTCTTGTTGAAGAAGGGGAAAGGAGGTGCCCGTTTCGAGTTGGTGGGACTGTAGGTTGGCCTCCAGGTACTGGCCGGTCTTGGTACGGTTGGCCGAATGGCGCATCAGAACACTGAGGTGGTGGAAGACTTGAAGGGCGAAAGGATGCGGGATACCCAATCCCTGGTACTTCAGAGGGGCAAAGACCACGACCCGGGGAAAGGAACGGCAAACCCCAGCTTTGTGCAAACTTGCTTGAAGGATCGTTGATATGATGGACACCCAGGCAGAGCGGCCCAGTGTGGAAAGGGGCATCATGTACTCCAAGGTTTTCAAGGCGGTTGCCTTGAGCAAGGGAAGAACGTCATAGCAAAGTAGATGTTAGGGGCGGAACTTGGCTGCCCAGTTCTTGGCCTTCTCCCGCAGAGCAAGATGTTGTGCTGTTCCGGTCTCAAGTGGGGCCATCATGACTCTCAGGGTCCTTTCAGCTTCATCTGGCTGGAGTTGTCGTAGTGTTGCCCAAAGCCCAGTAGGTTCTTGGAGGGTCAGTTCGCCAGGCATTTTAGCCTTCCTTCGAAACACCCACGTGCCAGAGGACGGCCGTCAGTTGAAATCAATCAGCCACCAGAAGGACTTCGCCGGGTTGATAGCTCCACCGGTGGCACTGATGCCACCTGACCAAAGGTCCAAAGCCGACTGTACCGACGGGAGGAGGTCTTTGCCAGTTGACTCCACGTTGTCATTGGACTCCATGACATTGGTGTCATCCATGGGCCTGCGCCATTGCCTTGACCGCAGCCCTGGAAGGGAACATCACCAGTGGGCCCAAAGGTCCGATCCGAGTTGCCAAAGCCAGTTTGGACCCCGTGTTTCGCCTTTGCCAAGATATCAAACATTAGGTTGGTGACAGTGACCGACAGGCCAAATCTCCGCAAGCCCGTCTTTGCTACCCAGTGAACCATGCGATCAAAGCAAGACTTTGCGTCATTTGAGATCCAGCCGGAAGACCGTCGTTCCAGGATCAGCGAGTCCCAGATCAATCGTTTGGAAAGGGCGAGATCAATGGATTGGTGCTGCTTCCGTGACCCACACTGTCCTTTGGGGATGATGTCATCCTCCTCAGCATTCTTCATTGCAGCCCGACCCGCCTTCTTGTAGTTGGCTTGAGCCTCCGAGTTGAAGAGCTGGATGGTCCGCATCCCTTGTGGTCGGAAGTCATTAGGCTTCTTTTCAATCGCAAAGTTCATCAGGTTCTTCCAGAGTTCCGAAATATGGCCTGACCGGAGTGGAAGGTCCTGAAACGCCGTTTCACAAGAAGCCTATCAGTTCCGAGAGGGCGCCTGCCTTGAAGTGCCCATTATGGAGGCCGTGGGGTTCAGAACCCTTGTTCTCGGGAGTGCGACTCCAGAAGTCCACGTGCTCTTCAACCGTCAAGGGAAAAGGACAAGAACGGTAGCTATCGTGCAGTCAACAGTGGCGAAGGAAGGCCTGGGTAGAATAAGCCAGGCCACCAGGGATGGGGAGTTTGCCTTCCAGAAGGAGTTGTTGGTTGTTGTCCGCGTCAGGGCCCGTAAACATAGTGTAGAGTGGCTCAGACATGGGAGGAGTGGAGTGCGGGGTCTGGGTTTGTTGATACCGGGCCCCATTTTCTTGCATGCATCCATCTTTGACCGACGCTGGGTCAGTAATTTTCTGTAACCGACGATTGCCAGAGCTGTCCTCCTGGTCGACTTGAATGGCCCTGAGACCGCCAGATAAACCGGAGGAACGAGCCTTGCGTCTCCAACGAGTCTCCTCGCGTTGCTTCATGGACCGCAAGCGGTGATATCGTTCTTGTTGGCTTGCCGTCTTACGACGGACTTTAGCAATGCTCTGGGTGCGAGTAGTGACATGGGCCTTCCGCCATTTAGAAGTGAGGCCCCTCTTGGCGTCTCTATATTGACCAAGGTCTTGGGTGAGATGGGACTCAAGTTCGGCTGTGGTCAACTTCCAGGCCAAGGGCTCCTTTGTCTTGAGCAGCAGGCGGCGAACCTTCCTGGAGCTCACACGGCACTTACGTTGGCCCTTGAGGAGAAGGCGCCACAAGGTGATCCGATCCCGAATGGATTGGCCTTTTGGAGACCATTCTGCCCCGCCCATTGACAACTTCCTTCAGTTCTGCTCCGCCAATTGTCGAACTGTGTAGGTTTCGGCGTGTATCCAATCGAATCTGACCGATTGGGATTTGGTGATGCCGCCCTGCTGTCGGGCAACGTCGAATCCGAGGGTAGAAAGACGGCCCAGAATATTGTACCGCATGTAACCCTGCTCCGCTAATTGGACGTATCGTTGAACCACCCGTTTGTTATGCATTACCAGCCGGCGTGGAACATGGGTGGATTTCGTAGGTGTCTGTCCGCCGAGGAGACTGTTCAAGTCAAAGTCGATCCACAGGCCACGGTGATCGGAGGCGACGTGTTTGTCAAAAGGGTAGTACCCGGCAGCCAGGATGGGCATTTCAGGCGTCGCGAAGATGCCGTCAATCGGATACCCACGGAGGTTCCGCTGGTAAGTGGCCTGATGAGACCCTGGATGTTTGGACTGGATTGCCTCGACCAGTCCTACTTTGCTCATCCAAAAACGGAAAGACTTTGGGGAGTAGGAGGATAAGTTGTTGTTGGCATCGATGCCCAAGATGATGGAACAACCGTCGTCGCGCTAGGTGTTGATAGCCGTCGAGAGGTCCTTGATGAAAGCCTCCCTGGGTTCTGCGTCGCGGTTGGTGTGGCTGAAATGGGCCTTGTGTTGGAACCACATGGTTTGGTGCCTGTCGTTGGGTGGGTTTGGTCGGTAGGCAGAGATGACCACCAAGTTGCGCTGGCCAACGCCTTGTGTTCGGCCTTGAAGTCGGTTCCAAGCCCATCGCCCCGAGCTATCATCGCCACTGGACCGGACTCGGTGGGATACTTTGTTGAAGGCAGAAGTAGAACAGCCCCCAAATTGGGTGGTCGAATGGGCAGCCTGTGGTTGATGGGTATTGTAGGCCACCGCCAAGTGGAAACCTTTGCCCTTCCGAGCCATAGTTCTGGCTCGTTCACGCCATCGGTTGGTTGGTGTAGTTGCTTGCCAGATTTTATTCAATTCAGCCAGAAGTAAAAAGTCCACACATTTGCTTCAAATCCAGTGGTTCAGCTGTGCCTGTTTAGGGTCGTCCAATGCATTGGGAATAGTGTTAATATTCTGGAAGGCGAGTCGGGCGGACCCCAGTGGCCGTTGCTGGTGGAGCAATGGGACGAGACGAGGGACTGAGTAGTGTAGTAGCGCTGACCCGTTTCTGGCCCGGTGGACCTGTAGGGACGTCCACTGTGAGCATCGGAATGGGCCTAACGTTTGTAGCCAACTCTGACATAGCAGCGGCTGCCTCTTGGGCGGCCTTCATTGCCTCCAATTCGTCACAAACGGACTGTAGGTCCCAGTTTAAACTGTTCCTCTCGTGAGTGATGGTCTCAATGGTCTGAGGAGCGGTCTGGAGTTGAGCCTTGTTTTTGTTCCAGTCATCGAGGTAACCAATCACGGATAGGCCATCGTCCACGTCCTGAACATGTTTGGCGTGGATGTCAATGTGGAGGGTGCCCTCGAGAATCTCCATGGGGTCTTCCATGCAGAGAAGGAAGTCCATGGGGTCACGGACTTGAGGACCGTGTTCATCGGTGGGATTGTCAATACAGCGGGAGCAAAGTTCCGACGGGACCCATTCAACGTGAAGCTTGCGATTCTGGTAGGCAAGGTCGGTAGCTGACTAGTTCTTGATGACGCGGATGAAATTGGGGAACGACGACTCGCCAAGGTGAAACTGAAGAAAGGACGGCAGGTTGTCAAGCACGTTCATTGCAAGAGGAAGATAGCGCTGGCGAACCACCACAAAGTAGCATCTATCCTCCTCAGCTAGTAAGATCATGACAAACAGAGGGCTTGGTCTGTCGTTGGTGAGGTCCATCTGTGCTAGCTTGTCGATCCAGGCATCGTCGTCCTTGGGAGACTTGGGTGCCATGAGGAGCAATGTTTTTGTCTCCTCCACAGGCTTTGGAGTGGAGGCAACCAAAGACTTTTTGATGATTGTGGTCCACTCAAAGGTTGGGGGGCCATCATCATCATCGTCGTCACCGGACGATTCGCTATCACTCAGTACTTTGATAGCCTTGGCAGGTGGCTTCTTGGGTTCTGCGTCCTTGGCCTTCTTGGCCTGGGCGCCCGTGACAATGACGGCAATAAAGAATCCCAGGAGGGTGAGCTTCCCAAAGTTCTCAGTGACAGCAGAAGTCAGCATGCCCGGGAGTTCGATGGGAATCCGGTAGGTGGCAGTCAAAACCCGCCTCGCCCGAGTCCTTTCCCGCATGGCTTCGATCACTGATTGAAGCTGCGGGCACTGTTTGCCGAGGACCAATTCGTCCTTTGCCGCCTGCCAATCTCTGGTGTAATGGGTCGGTGCTTGGAAGGGAGCACAACTGGGCTTACAGCTGTCTGACAGGACCCATTCAACATGAAGCTTGCAATTCTGGTAGGCAAGATCGGTGGCTGACCAGTTCTTGATAACTTGGATGAAATTGGGGGATGACGACTTGCCAAGGTGGAACTGAAGAAAGGACGGCAGGTTGCCGAGCACGTTCATCGCAAGAGGCAGATAGAGCTGGCAAACCACCACAAAGTAGCATCCATCTTCCTCTGCTGGTAAGATCATGACAAACAGAGGACTTGGTCTGTCGTTGGTGAGGTCCATCTGGGCAAGCTGGTCAATCCAGGCATCGTCGTCCTTGGGAGACTTGGGTGACATGAGGAGCAATTTTTTCTTTTCCTCCACAGGCTTTGGAGTTGAAGCAACCAAAGACTTTGTGATGATTTGTTCCACTCAAAGGTCGGGGGGCCGTCATCATCATCGTCGTCACCGGACAATTCGCTATCACTCAGCACTTTGATGGCCTTGGCAGGTGGCTTCTTGGGTTCTGCGTCCTTGGCCTTCTTGGCCTGGGCGCCCGTGACAATGACAGCAAGAAGGAACCGTAGGAGGGTGAGCTTGCCAAAGTTCTCAGTGGCAGCAGAAGATAGCATGCTCGGAAGTTCGATGGGAATCCGGTAGATGGCAGTCAGAACCCGCGTTGCCCGAGCCCTTTTCCACATGGCTTTGATCACTGACTGAAGCTGTGGGAACTGTTTGCCAAGGACCAATTCATCTTTTGCCGCCTGCCAATCTCTGGTGTCATGGGTCGGTGCTTAGAAGGGAGCACAACTGGGCTTACGGATGTCCAAGTTTGCAGCCAAGATCAGGTCGGCCTCGCAAGCAAAGGCTTCAGGAATGAAGACATGCCAGCACAGGAGTCCTTGAGAAGACCCAGTGAATTTGGCAGAGAAGAACCGTGGATTGTTGACCCAATCTTGCATGAGGCCAATGGGGTACTGGAAGTCGCAGAGACGCATCAAGTCTTTGCAGTACGTGCCAATCGCCAATTCTTGTGGTAGCAACAGGAGGTAGCCAAGCCGGACCATGTCGGAAACCTGGATGGGAGTCGGGAAGACGCCCGCCCGAAGCTCGCTGGACAAGACGGAGCAAAGTTCTTGCATGAGTATGGGTGGCCGTGTCCATCCCAAACCGCATTTGAGTCTTGTAGGTCTTTGACCCAGTCTTCCCATGTTTGTTGAGGATGTAAGGATTGACAAAGTTGGGATGGAGGTAGATCTTCAGGTGGGCCCAATCCTTGGCCTTTTTGTCAAACTCCTTCAAGGTCCGGTCCAGATCCACAGTTGTTGTCGGGTGAATCGACCGTCAGCAAAGGGTAGAAGGACAACCTTGGAAGTGATCTCGCCCCAAATACCAGAAGCAAACTGATGGAAGGCATTATAGGCGGTCTGGACTTGATTGAATTCGGACAAACCGACGCCCTGCCAATCAAAGACGATAGACACATTGAACATGGCAATGTGCCGGAAGGGAGAGGCATCCCAAAGGACAGTAAGAAGGCGCATCAATCGTTCGTCGGTGGTGAGAGGAACCGTGAGGGCGGGGAGAGAGGCAACAGTGTCCCTATAGGTTGGGGCACCATTGTGTTCCTTGGCATCATTTTCCTCACTGGTCCTCCCACGCGGGGTGATGACATCGTCAGATGGAACAATGGCTTCCTGTGTTACTGTCGGGGTGCCAGCAATGACATGAACAGCGTCAGACATGCTCACTCGTTGGTGCGGAGCAGTGGCATCCAAAGGTGGAGTGCGTTGGTAGGGGTTGGACCGACCCTTTGGTGGCGTCAGTTCTGTTGTTAGAATAAAGCAAAATGTGCTCTATCGTGAGTGCCTTTAGCGCTCAGAACAAACTCTCTGCAATCTAAATTTGTAATCAATTGTACAACACTTCCACAACAATAGTTCTCCTGTGTCTAGGTATACTTTGAGTGAAATTGTTCCTATTTGATTAATATTTGGCTTGAATTGATGATTCAATCACAAAAGTAAGTTCAACAATTTTCCTTTGGAAGATTCCTTGTTTACAGAACTTGATTCGACCTCTACGACAATTCTGTGTTGGATGCAGTACTTTGGGACATCTTGTATTATTCCCTACTGCATTGTACACAACATTGATATCTCACTTGTATAGGGTCATTC